CGTTGAGTATCTAGATCACTTCCAAATAAGGAAAAATACTGAAATATAAATTACCGACATAGATTTATCCACTTTTGATTTCCTTTTACAGAGAACTATAGATGTTTGTGTGTATTAGTAAATATGTTTTGTAACACATTCAAAATTTTACTATGAGGAAGAATATACTTGTAGAAATTGTGAAATGTGTTTACAAATTTGCCAGTCCACAGAATGCTGTGTAGCAGATGGTTCACAATCGCTTACTTCTTAGCTTTCACTAGAAATAAAGGGTTCTAAGGGTTAAGGATTCTAATCAGTATATGTAATTACGCTACTTAGAAAAATCAGAGCGTAAAGGAACAATTGTGTGAAAAGGAACAATTGTGTTAAAAGTAGACAGGAAAATAGACTGACCGGTTGTTCCAGAGTTAGGAAGAGAAAAACACAGGGCAAGACCTGAATGGATATAAAAATATTGTAGAAGGTTAGTGGAAAAGGAACCTTGGAGAAGGAATTTTATGTATGGTCAAGCTGACTAAAATGAGAATGGATTTATTTAAATTTTTAAGGATGAATTTTAATATGAAAAGTATATAAAATTAGAGTTTGTCCTTCTCTCTTTGCAAAGTGTTCTTGGAATGTCGGTCGGCTCTTGATTGTGAAAGGTTGCTGTTGTTGGTTACCTTTTGGGTAATCCACCTGGAAAGCAAAGGTTTGGAGTCTTCCAAAATCCTTTCCTGTGCTTCATTTCGTCTTTATTGGATCTCTTATTACTTAAGAAAACCCAGTCATCTCAATAGTGATAGAGCGAAGTTTTGTTCACAACTAGGTAACCTATTGTCAATTTATTTAAATTGATAATTAAGTATTATTTCATAGTGATCTGAGGTCTTGTTAAGTCAAATGTCCAAACCTTTTGACATTTTGACAACTTCCCCAAATCAAATTATAAATGCAGTCTTTTGGACCTCGAAATAACTTTGAAATTTCCCAGAGGAACCCTGGAAAACCTCCAAGGATGTGTCTCTCACCTGGTAAAAGAGATGTTAAACGAATTATGTTTATATGATATGTTAAATTATGTGGGAAGTATTGTCAGATAATAAGTGGTGATACACCTTCTTAGGTGCTATGTTTTTGGATATATGTTGCAATATAGGTACTCCAAAAATTGTTTAAGTATCCTAGAAATTTGACAGTACTATCCTGTTATTGTCCTAAATTATTGTATGTCCTACTGTAGAGCACAGGGAACTATCTTCAATAGCTTGTGGTGGCCTATCATGAAAAAGAATGAAAAGGGGTGCGTGTATCTATGTATAACTGAATCACTGTGCTGCACACCAGAAATTAACGTAACATTGTAAATCGACTGTACTTCAATTAAAAAAAAAAAGAAATACCATGTCAAAAAAAAAAGATTATTGTTAATTAAAGAAAACCAGATAGCTCAAGTTAAGGCATTTAGTATTTTTCTATATATGAGAAGTTGCAGAAGTCTGGGCTCATTGGAATCGTTGCTTTGATTGAGGGCCAGTATCCAGTGTGTCTCAGCCTGAGTCTCCTCAGGGGGTACATTGGGAGTGGTTACCATGGCTGATGGCTTGATGGTGGCACCTTTGGGGAGGCTGCAGTGTGGTAGCTTGATGGCTGCAAAATCCTTTGTTTATTGATATGGCAAGCAGTATTTTTCATTCACAGCCCGTGAATACCTCATGGATACGAAATCAAAACGCTAAGGACAACCAATCACAAACAGCCAGCTAGGTTTTAAGCTGTAGCCAAATCAGTGATTTCCTTATTTTGCTTCTGCCTTTTCTCTATAAAAGTCTCTCTCCAAGCCCCTGGTGGTGGAGCTTCCTCACCACTTCTAACTTCTACATTGGTGTTGCCTGATTTGGATCAATTTTCTCACACAAACTCTTAAAATTAAAAAAAATACACACATCTGCTTGAGAGAAATTATCGGGTTGAAAGTAATGAATTTTTGTCCATTTATGTTCCCCCTGTTTATTTCAAAGTAAGATAAGCTTATCACAGACAAGTAAAATATAATGAAACTAGGAAGGAAAAAATAGTCATTCAGAGTCTTCCACCTGGGGGCAACTGATGCTGAGGTTTTTGGCATGATTTCTTCTGATTTATGCAGTCATTTTCTTTCTTAGTAAGGTTCAAGGATGCAGACCTTTCTAAGGCTTTGGATAATACTGCCAGAATTGCTTTCAATTTATCAATTTATCCTCCTTCTGGTAGTGTGTGTGACTTTTCTGAAAACAGTTAACATTAAAATTATCAAGTAAGCACCATCGCTTCAAAATTCATGATTTTGGTCTGGCTCACTGAATGTCTGCGAACATAGGACTGGGCATAAAAACATACAAAACTCGTGTTACTTGGAAAACTCATTGCCAGCTTTTGATTTCTTTGCATAATTAAAGGATTCTTTTTTTCATAGTCAGGATCCTATTCAATTCGGTTGTGTTCAAAATTCTAACTTAATTTAAATTTAATGAATCGTCAAAAGCACAATTGCGCAAAAATGCCTGAATGCATAGGCTCTGGTTGAAGTCTACCCTTTTGAAAAGCTACCTTTGCTAATGGTGTTTATTCCTTGGGCAACCGAAAATGCCTATTAAATGAGTAGCAGTGGAAGTCCACTCACTGGTCTTTCCGAGTGAAGGCAGACTTTCAGTCACTTTTTAATACTTGTTTCCTGGGATGGATGGAAGAAAATATTCTCTTCGTTTATCACGGCAAACTTCTTCATGGCGTGGTGCACGTAGAAAATAATGGTACTCTTTTGTTTACACTGGAGTAAATGAATGAGGCTGATGGAATCAGAGGTGATCACCTCGAAGCCCGGGGCCTCACCTGGCTGTTCTGAGGGCGCAGGGATCCACATTTCAGCCTCCCGTGATCCATTCATGGTACATCAGGGCCAGCTCTGTGTCCTAGGGATCTAGAGGAATGTATCTTCCTGTGTTACGAAGAGCCTATCTTTCATATTTTAAAATGTTATTTCTGTGTGTATATGTGTGTGTTTAATCTTTTCCTTGCTTGTATTGATTGCACAGAGGCCTTATAACTGTGAACCCCTCCTTAATAGAAATGCAGGTGTTTTTCTTGACAACTTTCTGACCCTACTTCTTCAGTCTTCTCCACAAAATACGCTCAAATTCTGTTCCAAATGTTTTCTCTATTTGATTTCTGTCACCTGGAAGTCATTCATTCAGCCATTATTAACTGAGTTCTGTTAAATACCAGGCACTTTGATAAGCACCTGGGATGGAGAAATGGTGAAGGCAGCTTCTGACTCTAAGATGTCCACAGTTTACTGGAGGGGACCGCAGGAATGATAAGGGGAAGCAAGAAGCACTTAATGATGCTTCCAAATGTCCATGGCCTTCTCCCTGGGGCAGGTGGGAAGGCACCCCAGGAGCAGTGACATCTCAGGTGTGACTTGAAGGATATGTAGAAGCTTGACATTTCATTCAAGAAACAGAGTACGTATTGGATAGGAGGCAGAAACTCATGGTTTTGAGAAGTAGCTGAGCTTGTCACTATGCCTGGAACACCAATTCCTGGCAGCACCTGGAAGAGTGATGGAGGACCAGTTTGGGAAGGAAGGCAGGGTTAGGTTTCGAGGATCTTTGCTGGCTTCATGAGGAGTTCGGACTTCTTATGCGGGAGACTGACATCCACTGACTTGTGTTTTGGAAGCATTGCTCTGGCGTCTATGTGGAGGATGGACTTGTGGACGGGTGGAGAAGTTGTCAGGAGGTCACTGCAACTCTGAAAGCAGAAGTGATGAGGGCTTGACCTGGGGCCTGGGGGTTAGGGGTGGATGGAAGAAGGCAGTGGTGATAGAATCCATAGGAACGGCTGCGGGAGTACAAGAGAAGTCCATGTGGGCAGTTAAGTCCCTGATGATGTCATTAACTGAGACAGGGAGGCAGGCTTAACCCCCACCATTTCAGCTGTTCTTTGAGACCCAATGCAAGGGCTCTTCCTTTACAAGCCTTCTTCTCCCATGCTTGTCTCCCGAGGGACCGCTCTCTTCCCAGAATAGCTCTTCTGGCAGTCAGCAGTGGATGGTTTGCTCCCTAAGCAGGAGGCTATGATTTCATGTGTGTTAGGTTTGTTTCCTAAGCTGGATTGTAGGGCTGTGCATTTCAAGCCCCACATCTTGTGCTTCTCTGATATTCATCCCAGCGACCATGTCCCAGTGTTAGGCATTCACCAGGCTCTGTCTGCAGTAGGCAGTGGGGCCTCATGCTGTGCTTGCAAATGAAATCTTAAGTATAAAATTGATATAAAGTGAAGCTGCTCTGGCTAAGTAAGGGGTAGAAGGCGCAGAATCCATGACCCGTGTCTTCCTCCTGTCAGGGCTCCAAGAGGCACAGTTTGAAAACCTCCAGCTTGGTGGACTGGTCATGGGTTTTGGTATCAGTTAGAACTGAGTTCAGATCTTGGCTCTGTTCCTTGACTGTACAATAGAGCAGAGAAATGGGGAAACTGCTCTGAGCCTTACTTTCCCCTCTGTAAAATGGGGACAATAACACTCTCATTGTAGTTTTATTGTGAGAACAAAGATATTGCATGTAAAAATCTCTGGCACCCATGAAATGTTCACTACGTCAGTTGTTAGTAAAAATAACAAGACACTTGCTAACTGATCCTTATTGAACCGGTTACTTATTCAGTCTAAATAAACCTACTCATGTTCATGGTAAGAAAAGCCAGGGTTGGGGAGAAGTTATTGGTGGGTTTGGGATTCAGAGGGGACCCAGTCTTGTCTTACGCTCCATCCATTCCACCAGCCTGCAACTGCCTGCCTTTGCATGAGGGCCTATCAATATTTAATGTGTGGGTGTCAGTTGCTGTAAACTGAGCATACCCCAGCACCAACCTGAATTAATTATATGCAGGAGGAGAGAAAATAAAATGCCTTTTTCTCAGAGCCCCAAGTTCCACTGGCTCCACGGAAGCCTGGAAACCACAGGGTGAAATTTCTGCTCATGGAGGATCCCGAGAAGAAGCTGAGCCAGAAGAGTGACAGCAAACCCCGGAAAATACGCTTTAAAATCTCTTCCTCCTACAGTGGCCGGGTGTTGAAGCAGGTCTTTGAAGATGGACAGGAATTAGAGTCGCCAAAGGAGGAATATCCTCACAGTTTTCTCCAAGAGGCCCTTGAACCAATGGATGGTGTTTACGGGTCTGGGGAAGCCCCCAAGCCCCGACCGTGCTCCCCCAAGCTGACTGCTCAGAGGATCAGCGTGGTTAGAGAGGGCAGTGCCTACACTTTGGCAGGCAGCCAGCCTTTCTTCAATGATTACAAGGCGAATGACCATAAGGTTGGTATTGCGCATGGTGTAGAAGCTTTAAGGATGAAAATGTGTTTAGAGAAACACCTAAATGTTTCCCATCTGTATCCTGCTCATGTTCCAGTACCAGCCAGAGCTAGAGGTGCACCAAATGTGAAGCCACTATCAGAATAATATTTCTGGGACAAAATATAACATGCTGGTTGACTACTTATTGGAAAATGCAGTAAGCATAGGTAGTATTCAAATTCCATCCAGGGCAACAAATGATAATTGGGTCTTTGGCTGGGTTATCTCGGTAAGTAAATGAAATAGAGCTGCAGTGGTTTTCAGGCTGCCAGACTGCCGGTGTAGAAAATTATGTGGCAATGGGTTGTTTTGTTTCCTGAAAGAGCTAAGCGTTTGAGGGTGCTTGCTCATTTTACTTCAGCCAATTATTTAGCTTGTGGTTTCTCCGTGTCTTGTTTTATTTCTTATCTCCCTCCTGCTGCTTCCTTTTTTAAAAATGTGTTTATTTATTTATTTATTTATTTAGCCTTTCCATTGCTCATTAGCCTGAGCACTGGGTAGTTGGAGTCCTGGGAAGAAATGGTGAAAAGCAAATTAGCCAGACGAAATGTTACATGGGGAAGACGTTTGAGCTAATAGTTCAACTGAAACATGTATTTTTATCTGTGAATTTCGGTTATCTTCTCCAGTACCAGGGTTAATCAAAAGCCCATACATGATTTTCTTTTAAGCTAGAAGAACCTGGGAATTATTCACTGATTTCCACAAACTAATAGATGTGTGTGTGCTCTCTGCCAGCAGGACCGTGAATGCCTTAAAAAAAAAAAAAGATGAAATCCAATTATATAATGTACCAGGTTATTAACGAATAGCACACCAGGTTATGTTTTCATCTTTAAAGTGTGAAGTTTAGATAATTACTCTCTAATCATTTTTATTGTTAATTTCCTAAGAGAACAGATAATACATCTATAGCAGACAAATGTACTGGCCTTGCTGGCATTGGTGAAAGAATAATTAAGGGCATGTCTACATTTATCAAAGCTAATACCAGGTTTCTTTTTGATATTAAAGGGGACTGGAATGAACAACTCCTAACATTAGTGGAGTGACTTATGCATTGCAAAACATTATCACCTTCTGTATCATAGGATCTTCTCCACAACCTTGAGGAGAAAGGCGTAGTATGGTCATTTCCACTTGGCAAATGAGGAGAATTAAGTGCCAAGTTGTAAGGGACTCACCCACTATAATCAGGGCATTAGGTGAAGAGTGAGAATAAAACCCAGGTCTTCTGGGAAACTGTACGCTTTGCTCAAACAGTGAAGCCTTCACACTCAATGCCAAGTTTTTGTTACGGATTTGTTTTTCCATAAAACCATTTTCAACCAATCACTGATTTTTAGGTTTTGTTTGTTTAAAAGTGTAAGAGTTCAAACTTCCACATTCTATTAAAGTTTAGCTCTAAAATCAAAATTAGAAAAAAAAAACCCAGGTCTTCTGATTCCCCATGCTTTTGGCCCTATGGAATGTTCCTTTTAAGAGAAAAAGGCCACTATTAATGATGAAGATGATCACAGTTACCATTTATTGAGTATTTATTGTGTCCTAGGTACTTGGCCGTGTCTTGTGCTTACAGTACCTCTTTTTAACTAAATCTCATTTGTAGGTTTAGAATTGACAAAATCATAGTTTATATAAACCTTGTACAAGGCCACAGTTTATGATATTGGACTGCTTGCCCTTCGTAAGCCATGTGTCAGACTTGGCATCTATGTAAAAGTATGATTAGCAGGAACTTAATAAAAGCAGATAACCGAGCCTTCACGGCTGCACTGCACAATGGGCTTAAACATAGCACTCTAGAGACCAGGTTCCGGGGTTGGTTTCTGCTCAATCTGGTTCCCGGCTTTCTGTGTTATCTGATCCAATGCCACATCCCACTGTCAGCCACCCTTTTGGTCTGAGGATGGTCAGGATGGATTCTTGCTGCTCCACCCACTGAAACAGGTGGTCAGGGTGGTACTTAGCTAAAATAAGGAAATGAGAGCTGGGAAGTCATGATCTTTCAGTAACAAATCCAACTCTAAAACAACCCAGGGTAAATATTGACTCTGCAGCAATGTTGGGTAGCTGTTAAGCACAACAATTTAAAGTAATGGCTCTGAAAGGGAGGAGAGTTTAGCTCAAGTGGTAGAGCACATGCTTAGTATGCAGGAGGTCCTGGGTTGATTCCCCAGTACCTCCTCAATAAATAAATAAATAAGTCTGATTGCCCCCTAAAATTAATAACAAATAAATAAAATGAACAGATATATTTATACACCAGTATTCATAGCAGCACAATTGCCCACAGGTGGAAACAATTCAAATGTCCACCAATAGATGGGTGGGCAAACAAAATGAGGTACATACATACAATAGAATATTGTTCAGCCTTAAAAGGAAGGAAATTCTGACACATGCTACGACATGGATGAACCTTGAAGACGTATGCTAAGTGAAATAAGCCATTTTTAAAAACATGATTGTTTGAGTCCACTTATATGAGGTCCTAGTGGCATCAGATTGACTTATAGAGACAGAAAGTAGAACGGTGCTTGCCAGGGGCTGGGGACGGGAGAAGGTGGAGTTTAATAGGTCCAGAGTTTCAGTTTGGGAATAAGAAAAAGTTCTGGAGATGGGTGGTGGAGATAGTTTCACAACAATGTGAACGCACCAAAGCCACTGAACTGTACCTTACAAAAGGCTAAAGCGGTAAATTTTATGTTATGTATATTTTGCCACAATAAAGTCATAATAAAAAGCAAGGTTCTGATGTCAGTTATACCTGGGCTCGCTGTCCATTTTACCCACTTAACTGTGTGAGCTTGGGCAAGCCACTTCCCCTTGTGACTACAGAAGTACTTATGAAGATTGGTGTGGTGGTTAAAAAATATATAATACGTAAGAAGGACTTAGCATTGTGCCTGGAACATTGTGTATGCTCGGTAAATGTTACCTACCAGTGTGATAATGGCTAGGTTCTTATCAAAGAAATATCGAGTCTTTTAAAATTTTACATGATGGATAGAGAAAGTGGTAATGAACAATCAGATATTTTAAGGAATTGAAACCATTTTTATAAGGTTCATAAAAAAAATGAAAGAAGCAAAAAATGAAATGTTCAGTGTATGTTAGTGAACATACACTTTGTACATATTATGCAATTTTATCTTCACAACAATTCTCTTTTATATACTGAAAAAAAAACAGAAGTTCCTTGGGGTTAAATAACTTGTTGATCTCACACAGCGGTCAAATAATATTTGAATATAATTTGGACTCATGTCTGCCTCCCTCCAAAGTCCACTGAGTTTCTAGTACTCGCTAAGGCGTATCTGCATTTAAACACAGAGCAGTGAGGTTTTGTGGTCCTTGAATGGCAATCCCCAGTCATGTTGCTTTTGACATCAGAGTATTTATGAATGTTTAATCACATAAGCTGCCATTCTGGGCGCTATGGAAGGAAGCAAAAATTCCTGGCTCCATCCTGGCCCTGTATCATGTAAGAGTGAGTGTTCCTCACAGGCAATTGGGTGTAACCAGATAACATGAACTTCAGTTACACCCAGAGAGTTTCCTTAGACACAAGGAAGAATTTGGCTGTCAGGGTGAGTGAAACTTAAACACATCTTCAAGGTGATTTGGGACCCTCCATCTCTGGAGTAAATTAAAAATAAATTCGCTAATCTGAGAGTCTCAGATATTGACCAGCTTTGAGGGAGGAGGTTGGACCAGATAGCTGCAGATTCTTTTTTAGTATATTGAGAATTTGCCTTGGAAAAACCAGTCCTTCATGTGAAAAAAAAAAAAAAAGCTTCCTAGTAACTGAACCTCTTCGACTATTACTGGAAATGGAACCTTCCAAAAGTGCCACCATCTTTATCTTCTGATGTTCAGAAACCGATAGTCCAGAGTGTGAAACAGGAACCCAGCCTGCATCAAACAGTAGGAAATGGAAGCTGCCACATGATCCCTTGAAGAGAGGGAGAGAAAACAGGGCCAGGTAGGAAGTTAGTGGCTTTATAAATAATTATCAAAAACTCCGTGGATATTTCAAGGAAGGGGACCTGAGTTTTGAAGTCCCGCTCAAGCCAGGCTGTGACTGAATACATGAGGGCTTTCAATGGGAGACTGCTTGACCGTGGCATCTAAATAGATTTGGCTTATACAGGTCTGTAAAAGCAGGGAAAACTATTTCACGCTGGGGAACTTAGCTGTGAAGCATGACTGCATGTGTCCTGCTAAAGGACAGTTTTTAATGCAACAGTAGCAATGCGCATCATTTGCATAGTACCTTCAGCTTTTGCAGACTGTTTTACATATTCTTCATTACACTCCCACTCCTAGATGTCGATACATTTAGCCTCAGGGACAAGAATCAAAGTATTTAACCAAAGAGTCCAAATATTTAACCACAGGAACATTGCCTAATTGGTATAGAAGCCAGAGGAGGGTTGAGGTAGGGTCCTAAAACCTGGGATCCTAAGCATTAGCTTCTACATTCCTGGGTTTTAGGACATTAGAGGCTCCCTGAGGAGAGACTGGGGTAACAAGAAGGCAGTCAGGAGTCTCAGGACAGCATCCTGTTTACCACCCAGTATGAATATTTGTATATTTTAATAACTAGTTTGTCTTTGTTGGTGGCCACCCATTAGATGTCAGCCCATTTACATGAGCAAACTGAGGTTCCAAGAGCCCAAATGATTTTCCTGAATCTCATAATTAGTGAACAGTGGAGTTGGGATCCAGTGTTGTTCCCCTCTCCCCCTCCCAGCTATCCTAGCTCTGCAAAGAAATATGTGCTCTTAGTTAAGTAATGTCTAAACATTTACTCCCTCTGCTTCTCTATTGCATTATAGTATTGCCCAAATTATTTCTCAGCAAACGAGTAAGTAACACAGGGTAAATCCATGGAAGGGAACATAAGTTATTAGTAATGATGCTATAGAAGTGTATTTATTGACACAAAAAGATTTTCATATTGTATGAATAATGAAAAAACAAGTATATATGTGTATATGTACACAAGTGTGTATATTCATGTATATGTACATGTATACACACACATACACATATATACCCATATATATATAATGATCTTATTTTTGCAAGGGAAAAATGTTTGTGAATAGCTCATTGTATGTGTTAAGAATATGGACTTTAGAGGGAGACAGACTTGGGTTTGAATCCCAGCCACAAACCCTCAGTAACTCTGTAAACTTGGAAGCCTGTTAACCCCACTGAGAGTCAGTCTCCTCATTGGTAAAATGTAGAAATCATAGTATCTGTCTCATAGGGATATTTGGGAGGGAAGTGAGATCATATTTGTAAAATGCTTAGTATTTTGCCTGTCACACAATAAATGCTAATAATAATAATAATAATAAAAATAAAAATAAATTGTATCTACTATCATTATTTATGCCAAAATTTTGGAGAGAAATTTATTTTTTTATTATTTTTATTTTTTTTTAACTGAAGTACTGGGGATTTAACCCAGGACCTCCTAGATGCTAAGCATGCACTCTACCACTGAGCTCTACCCTCCCTCAAGAGAAATTTATTTTTGAAAAGCATTCCTTTATGTTTATTAAGCACTCAGCAGGGGAGGGTAGAGCTCAGTGGTAGAGTACATGCTTAACATGCCCAAAGTCCTGGGTTCAATCCCCAGTACCTCCATTAAAATAAATAAATAAACCTAATTACCTCCTCCCCCCAAGAAAAACAAAACAAACAAAAAAATCTCCCCTCCAAATTAAAAAGCACTCAGTGTGCCCACCCAACCCTATACCAGCTCGTGTGATGTGTAGTAGGAACAGAAGCTCTGGTCCCTGTCCTGCAGAGCTCTACATCCTAGATATATGACTAGTTCAGCTTTGGTTGTTGACTATCAACAGGAAGAAAGAAGCTGGTGTTCAGGATGTTCAGAGGGAGCAAAGAAACTAGGGAGTCAGCTTTGGGCTGCAATGGGATCCCAAGTGCTGGATGGTTTCTCAGTTTCCTGGGACGCTGGAGAGGTTCTGCAGCCCAAGATTTGGTGACTGGTGACCAATCACCACGCTCATTCTTCAATTCTTTAGTCCCCGCCTATTATAGATTTTGGAAAGATAATCATCTACACAAATAACCTGAAAATCATTCGAACTCCAATGGACAAGAGAGACTTCAAGAGGAAGATTCTCCAGAAGGAAGAGGAGGCTGAGGAAGAGTCTCTGATGAGCAAAGAAGGAATCTATGGAGACCAGAGTGACGGGCCTTTGCCAGAGACGGAAGGCACTTTCCCCCATAACCGGTACCCACAGGTGTGTCAGAATGGTTCACTCTCCACTCAGAGCGGGCCCTGCAGCAGTGGTCTCCAGGTGGTTTTGCTTGTGCGCTATTTAAGTGAATCCTTTTGAATAGGAATCCTTAAGATGTCTGAATGAATTAAAGATGTGAAGGAATTTTAAGTTTATTATACTTTAATGGTACGTGGTTAGCCATAATAGTTATAAGTCCGTATTTCAAATACTCGTAATTTAAATTATGTTGGATGATTTCTTTCAAGGATCTGATCAGGTATGTATTGTTTTCACTTTGCAGTGTGGCTGAGAACAGCTTGTTCTAGAGATGGGAAAAAGAGCTCTGTCCTTTTCTTAGGGGCTCGCTTGTGCCCCCATGGTTGGTGATAATCCTCAAGCCACAGTTTCCTTGAAGAAATCTTGGAATGCTACTTGTCTTTAGATTTTGTGGAGATTAGTTTAGTTGAAACTAAGCAAAATCATCTGTAAATCCACTAGACCAGGCGTTAGTTAACCACAATATGTTCTAATACCCTGAAAATGAACGGCTGAATGGGGATACCCTCGTCACTTTATGTAAAGTGAGATCACTTTACATCGCACTTACGCCATGGTCCCTTGGGTCCCACATTTGTCTAGTGACTGCCCGAACTAGTGAGGGTGCCAGTGTCAACTAGTTCATTAAAAGTCAGCATAGCAGCTTCTTTCGAAAACATTTTTAAAGCTTAATTTCTTGCCTTCTTTGGATAAAAAGTAACTACAAGCAGTTGGAATGCTTTTTCTCCCCACACCTTTCAGAGGTGTGCATTCACTCCCCATCTTGGAAACCATTGCTGAGACGTGCTCAGACGAGGGGAAGGATGATGATGTTTCAACAGTTCACAGCGTGGGGCTGAGGGTGGGAAAAGTAGTTTCAGTGAATTTAAGCCAAGAGAGTAAAAGCTTGGATAGCAGCAGAAAGGAATTTTCTCTCTTCAGAGCCTTTCTCTTGGTGCTTGAAGCTGAGCCTCCCCTGTGGGTCGGCATAACACAGTGGGGGCTTCCTCGCACTTGAGTGATGTCCTGGTCCTGGGAGAGTTTAGGGGAGTGGACCGAGAAGGTCATGACCAGACTCCAGCTCTGTTCGCAACTGGTCCTGTCTCTTTCCAACCTGTTCCCACAATTGATAAGATGCATTTGAAATGCATATCTGATCATGCCACCCTTTCCTCACCCTTTCCCCTGCCCAAAGCTTTCAGTGGCCTCTCACCACTTGGGATAAAACCCAAACTCCTCACTTGTTCCAGAAAGCACTGTGTGACCTGGCTTCTTCAGCCTCACTCCTTACACATTTCTCCCCATTCTCTCTTCCCTGGACACACTGCCCAGCTGCCCACCTCTCATGTATGTGTTCTTTGCTCTTTCCTACTGGAGCCAACTTCTGTGTGCCAAGAATATTCTCCAGATTTCCTACCTCCTTGCCCTTAGTCCCTGACATCTCAGTGGCCGTATCACTGCCTCAGAGAGGCCTCTCCTGACTTCCATGAGGATAACATCCCTGAGGGTGGACCCCTCAGGGCACCTCACACCCCCTCCACACAGTTGCAATCTGACATTTATTTGTGCGATTGTTTGGTTAATGTTTGCTCTTACCTGCTAGGATTTGATTTCTACAAGGGCAGGGAGCACATTTACATTAGGTGTAACACACTAGTTCCAATGTCCCCCCCCCCAAAAAGTAGAGCCTGGCATATAATAGGTGCTCAATAAATAAATGTTTTTATTTAACTTATTATTAATACTGAAATTTGAAACCAAAGTACTAGCTGGCAAGACTTTATCAGCCTCTGCCTTCTATGCTGTACTCTTCAAACCTAGCAGAGTAGCAAGCAGACAGCTGAACATTGTGATCCAAAGCATTACCTTCCCACTTTAAAATTCATTAATTCTATTCTTGTCCATACCATTAATGTAACTTGTAGGAGCGTATATTTTCAGAAGGGGACCAGAAATGCAGGTCACACTGCAGGTCTGAGTGAAAAAGCAATGACAGATCTGCTATGACAATTACCTTTAAATTCAATTTGGAGGGAACAGTGTTTCTTAGCTGTAATGCCGTAAACTAGGACAGAGGTGTGCGGCGGAGAGTTGCCGTGAAAGGTTATACTTGACTTCCCTGTTCTTTAAGGTCTCTTTTAAATTGCTATTTGTTTGCCCCATTTTTCATGCAGTAAATGCCCAGACAACTTTTATTCTAAAAGAGAGGGTCAAAGAAGATCAAGGAGCCCCTTCTGACCAAGAGACTCTTTGTTGTATTATATGGAACAGGGGAATAGTAGGACCGTGATGAAAGAGCAGAGCAGGGCTAAAAGCTAGGCTGTGTTTGAACCTCTGTATTAATGATAAAAGAAAAAGAGAGGAATAATTGAATTGAGCCAGTGAAAAGTAGAAGGGGAAAAATCTGGCCCTGGATTGAGTGGATTTGAGACCATAATTCATCTGGGCTTCTTTATGTTTTATGTGCTCTTACCTTTGAAACAAAGTAGTGGTAGTAATTAATAATAATAATAATAATAATAATAATAATAATAATAATAATAATAATAATAATAATAATAATAATAATTGCTGCCAGCTTCTGAGAGTTCCCGATAGCCAGACAGCATGCCCAGTGCTGTCCATGCAATAGTCCATTTCATTCTCGCAAGGACTCTGCGAATTGGGTGCTATCAGTAGTCCTGTTCTGCAGCTGGGGAAACGAAGGCTCAGAGCAGTTAAGTAACTTGCCAGAGGTGACTGGAGTCAGTAGTCAAACCCAGGTCCACCTGACTACCAATCTTACGATCTTCACCACTTGGCTAACCAGCCTCTAGGTTGGCGCTGGTTGCCATCTCCAGGGCTACCCGGGCCTGGGAGTCCGCGGGGATAGCTGAGTTCCTTTTTCTTGGTCGTGGAGCTAGGAAGGGGTGCTTCGGGTAGATCTGTTGGATTCTGGAACCTAAGCTATGCTGTGCAGCTGTGTTCTGTGTGCTCTTGCTTAATCTTCTCTGAGAAGGATTTTTAAAAATACTGAGAACGATAGACACTGATACCATGCAGATGGGGTATAGGCTCAGTAAACACCTGTTGAAATAACCGGATCATTAAAAAGAGAACATTGAGAGTGTATTGGGAGGAAGGGTGGTAACCCCGGAAAATGGAAACGCCAGTGAAACCTCTAATGCGTCAATAATCATGTGACAGGAGGTGAAATTTGACTGATGGTTTATTCTTCTTTAGGGCAGGGCATTTCAGTAATCTTTCAATATCTGACCTGGCGTTCTACGCAAGTGAGTTTTTGGATCATTTGTATAGCATTATGGCAGGATTTTACCGTATTTCCTTTGACAACATTGACGTATCATTAAAATCTCAGTGGGATCAAGGGCAAAACATAAAACATGATGGATTTGGCAGAAAAATGGACCATGGCAATTTGCTTTAAGAGTATTTTGACAGATATATATTTTTAAGGGAATAAAATTAATTTCCTCATTGTTAATATATTAGAATGTGACCACAATCAATAAAATATTAACAAAGGGGTACATGGACATCATTTGGGATTTTGTCAACTGGATAATCACTTACATTCTCTAACTCTAGAATGAATAGGATTTAATACCTTCCCAGGCACTTTGCAGCACGATGGAACTATTTTCAGAACGTAGGCCTTCCTTTTCAGAGACGATGTTTATTCTTAGGTTACCAGAGAAGGCTGTGTTGCCTGGTTGAGCCACCCAGTGGGCTCCAGATGTCTTGTTGGTCCCTAGAATTTAAGGACAGGAGGTGTTCTCCAGACATCATTGTTTTCTGTGTTTATTCTCTCAGCAAGTATATGAGCAGCAAATATTGTGCCAGGCACTGTGTTAGATGCCAGAAGGTGATGGGGAAAGGGACTAGCCCAGAGCACTGCCTGTCTAGTCAGCAGGAATTGTCAGTGGAGGGTGAGACCTGCCGTGCAGTAGAGGCACCGTGAACACCTGGTCCAGAGGTGCGGATCGGCAAGGCTTCCTGGAGGAAGTGCTGCTAAGCTGACATCCAAGAACAGTTAGGAGTCGGCTGGGTTGGGAGTGGGGAAAGGTCCCTGGAAGCCAGCTGGAGAGAGACCTAAGGATGAGAATCTGATGAAAGAAGTAAATCAGCTACAGAGATTCGGTTCTAACCTGAAGTTTATCTGGTGGGCAAGTGTTCATTGAAAGATTTCTTGGGTGCTTTCTGTGGGTCAAGCACCATTGTAGGTGACAATGAGACTGGCACTGGTGGGGAGAACATCTCACAAGACCAGAGGCAGGGGACTCGGTTGAATTCAAGCCAGAATTGGTACGTGTCTGGATTAGGATTGTGATTGTGGGATGGGGAAAACAGGATGAATTTGAGAGATGTTCAGAAGGTGAAATGGACAGGAATTTGTGATGAATCTAGTATCGATGTGGCATTGCCACTTCTTTCTGAGAAGGTTCATGATCTGTGCATGGTCATTGCACGAGAGTGCAAAGATTACCAGTTTCCTTGTGATGTCTTAGGGGAAGAGCATGATAATAGCAAATGGGCAGATTCTGGTGTCCCTGGGAGGTGAGGTGGGGAGCTGAGTCTGGGACTGGAGACTTATCGCAAAGCTTAGAAATAAACTAACTTTAGTGGAGAACCTATAATGTACCAGATAATATATTATGGCATTTACATATACTCTCGTTTAATATTCCAGCTACTCAGAAAGATAAGCAGTATTGCTCCCAGATCACAGGTACAGAAACAGACTTAGGGAGGTGAAGGGAACCGTCCAAGGTGCGCAGTTGGTGTTAGAGGCAGGCTTCAGTTCCAGGCTACCAGCTCCAGAGCAGAGCTCTTAACCTCTGGGCCTTTTCACAGTTCTCAGAGTACAGACAGAGTGCTGCGGGAATTCAGGGCTAAGCTCTGAAGGATTGTAATGTCCATCCATTCCTCCGCTCCGGCTCTCAATCACACCGAACAATCCCCCTTGAGCGCCTGCTATGGGAGACCTATGACAAGGGGCTGCTGGTTGTCACTGGGAGCTTGAGCTCTGGCATCTGATTGCCTGGGATGCAATCCGGCCTTCGCCTTTTCCAGCTGTGCGACCCCTGGCGCACAGCTGAGCTTCTCTGGGTTTCATGTTCCCATCCGTAACATGGGGACGGTAATACTTCCACCATCCACTGGGATGTTGGGAGGATTAGATGCATTGATACAGAGAACACTCTTAGGACAGGGCCTGGCAGGTCCTAGGCGTTGGACAAGTGTTCGCTGTGAGTGTTTGGCAGTGGGGAACATTAAGTCCTGTCCTCACAGTGCATACAGGAGTAACACGTCAGAGGGGAATGAGAGATGAAGGTCAGCTGGTGGAGTACATGCCCTGGGGGCGGGGCTGCTGTCTTAGAGGGGTCCAGCAGGGAAGTCTCTGATAAAATGCGGGGATTATCCTGTGCCTCCGGCCAGTTCTTTCCTTGGCATTTGTGGAATCATTTCCCTCTACTTCTGCCCCAGCCTTTGGCCGCCTCATACTGTTTTGACTTGCGTGTGAATGATGGCCTTGCACTGCTGCTGTAACTTAACCCTGACCTGTCTCTTGCAGGAAGGGGAGCTTCCCGAGGACAGCTGTTTTCACTGCCGAGGGTCGGGCAGTGCCCCCTGCTCTCTGTGCCACGGCAGCAAGTTCTCGATGCTGGCCAACAGGTTTAAGGAGTCCTATCGGGCCCTGCGGTGCCCTGCCTGCAACGAGAATGGCCTGCAGCCTTGCCAGATTTGCAATCAATAGCCCGTGGCTTTGTATGTCCACTTTTACCGCATCCTCCGTGAAGTCGTTTCTAATAAACTGCCCCTCCTCCACCCCCTCCTCCCTCTCCTGGCAGGGAAGCCGCAGTGGCTGCGATCACTTCCTCCCCTGGTGAAACTCCATTGCTTGATGACTTTTCGCGAGGCTGGTAACATCTCCTTCTGGGTCTAAGCGGCAGAGGCATTTTTTAATTAGAAACTGGAAACTGGCTCTAAAATGATCCATCCAGGACTGTGTTCAAGTATCTCACTGGAAACAAAGCAGGATGTCCGTGCTTCTTGCTGTTGCCTTTCTTTCAAAGTCCTGAGTCTCTCCTGTGTGATGTGCTTGGGTAATGTGCATGCAGGCAATGAACAATGCTACTTCTTAGGACAAGATGAGAGAAGACATTTCTGTGTGCCTCCAAACTCCTGAGGTTGTAAGCCAAGTCAAAACTATTTATGATAAATTTGGTGCTTAAATACATGAGTGTGTGTGATATGATTTCTTCCAGCCCCCAAGTTATTACCAAATAAATAAATCTATTTTAAGGCTAAGTTAACAGCCACGATGTCTTCATAAAGGACAGCAGGTATTTTATAAATATCTATTGGAAATTTCTAGAAGAAAAACTAAGAAAGGCTGATTTTTAGCAATTAAGTTTCTACTGACTATATATACTATTTCTACTGAATACACATACTAAGGATGATTTTTCCTCTTAAATTTGTTTGTAAAATTAGAAAAATACTTTTGCTAATGAACTTTTGTAGCCCTCCCAGTCAGTCCCATATCCCTTGAGAATAATACTGTAAAATCTATCTGTTGAGACGCGTTGCTTTTCTATGGTAATTATTTTGATTTTCATAACTTAATTTTGTCAAGATTTGTTTGTTATTCTCTGATATTCGGCTATTAAAATAATTTAACAGTGGAGTGATTTTCAGGCAACATAAATACTTCCAATAAAAAGATTAAAATATTTTTTGAAATCACAATCATTTTGCTTATTCCCTCTTAGCCAGAACAATGGAACTATTGTTCGCCAACATTCTTTGCTTCCTGTTCTTAACTATTTCCTGACTCTGTTTATGTTTTCTCATAGCTGTGGACTCTTCTGTCTTTCCAGGATACCGCAGAAAGGAACGATGTCAAGAAACCTTAAGTAGTCTTCTGCTTTTTAACACGAACTCTCGACAGCAGAATCTGTTGGTTGGATGTGCAGGACAGCATTGCCAGGTTCACGATGTGCAGTGTTACCCAGATGGGTACCGCCCTTTGCTATCTCATGAGAGTTACAGCTATACAGACAGATATTTACAATATAGTTTGACAAGTTCTGGGAGCGGGGAATTACAGGGAGCATTTGGACCATGTAGAAGGGGCACCTAGCGTAGCCCAAGTGGGGTTAGAGAGGTTTCCCAGAGGAAGAGGTGTGAGCTTGTTGGCTTATTTTCCTTACCCTTTAATACTTTTCGTCTCATTATAAACACATCTACTAATGATTACGTTTATTTATTCCATCAACAAGTATTTATTGAGGACTGCAAATCTGGAGCTTACATTTTGGTAGGGGGATATTGACAACTAAAATATATTTATTTAGAGACAACTAAAAATATGTATACAATACAGAATAAAACATATATCTGATAAAAGTATCTATGTATGTATATAATGTACAGTGTGTTAGAAAATGATAAATGCTTTAACACAAAAAAAATCCTTCTGGATGCAGGGGTGGGGAGTTGGGAGGGGGTGCAATTTTAAATTAATTTTGAGGGAAACCTCATTGAGAAGGTGTCCTTTAAATAAAGGCTTAAAGGAGGTGAGGGAGTGAGTTGTGAAGGTATCTGGGGTAGGATTATTCCAATCCATGGAAACAGCACAGGAAGGAGAGTGTGGTATATTTGAAGAGCAGCAAGGAAGCCAAGGTGGCTGGAGCACTGTGAGCAAGAGGACAAGTGGAGGTCAGAAAGGAAAGCGTGTGTGTGTGTGTCAGTGGGGCGGGCAAGCAGGGAGACAAGCTAGGGGGCCTTCCTCTGAAACCACTGGAAGAGTGGGTGTTACTGTGAGTGAGGTGCTGCTCTGGATGGGGTCTGTTTTCTGAACCCCCTCACACTCTCCTTCAACCCCTTCCTCTCACTGCTGGGGCAGGACACCTGCAAAAACTACACTTCCCAGAGTTCCTCGCGAGCAGGCGTCCTGTTAGTTTCTGCACTGGGAGGTACTGGCAGGACTGGAAGATGGGAGGAGGGAGGAGCCTTCTGTGTCTTTCCCGATGAGGATCCTGGCAGCCTTCCCCACGTGGCAGCTGCACTAGCAGCAGGGGCAGCTGGGAACTCAGGCAGCTTGCTCCCAGCCACAGTCACTTCAGTGTCTGAGTGCAGATTTGATGTTGCGCCATATTCCTTCTGCTCCTCCAGCCTGGGGGTGGTGGTGGCTCCCTGCAGTTACTAAGCTTTGTCAGCAATTCCCTATAATATATATTCCCTCTCTTTGAAATACCTAGAGTGGTTGCTGGTTGCCAACTGATGCAAATGTTTTGAGCAGAAGAGGGTCACCATCTGATTCATGTGTTAATAAGCCACTCTGGCGGCTGTGTTGAGAGAAGACTATAGGGCAAAAGTGGAAGTGGGAGGACAGTTAGGAGACCACTGCAATAATTCTGGTGACAGCTAGTGGTGGCCTGGGCCAGTGTGGTTCCAGGAGGAAGTGGTAAGAATGGTTGGATTGTGGCTATGTTTGTCAGGTAGAGCCGTGAGTTTGACCTGCTGTCCTTTGTACTCAGAAATACTGCTTAAGACCTACTGTATGCAAAACATATTGGAGGTTTTTGCCTATGAGTGGAAATAAGTTTGCACAAAAAATCCACTTTCTGATTTGTGTACCACAGACATTGCCAGTGTGGTGGGCAGTGTCAGGGGTAAGTTTAGGGTAAGGCTAGTCAATGAAGACTCCTCTGACTATAGGAATTCCTTCAGCCTTAGAAACAAATGAGAAGGTTAAAAATAACATTGTGATGCTGTGGTCAAAATAAAAAGAATGCTGTATCCTTTTAAAAATGTTTTTTTAAGTTTGTTAAAATTTCAAAACATTTTAAATGAATACATGTTTTCAAAAGGCACAACATCTGTCCATTCATTAATTTTTTGAGCAATTTTTCACTGGATTTCTACTGTGTTTCAGGCATTTGTACTAGTTCCTCCGGACTCAAAGGTAAAAACATACTTAGTACTTATCATTAATGAGATTACAATCTCTGGCCTCTAGTCAGCATAATGAATGAATCTGGCTTCACAGCTTGCAGAAGGCGCTGTTGCTGCCCTTTGCTGCTTCCTCCAGTGACCCTCAGTTTCCCTGCTTGGCTAGCTTAACTGGGCCAGCGTCAGGGCTGTATTGCAGAATTTGTTTACTGTTTTTTTTTAACAAGCCTGTATCAGCTGTACTGTGTGCAAGACACTCTTCTAAGCACTCCACACTTACTAATACCTTGAATCGTCCCAACAGCTGAATTAATTCGGTTAAGAGGTTACCTCCTAGTCTCACACTTGCTGTTCCCTTCCACGCCACACCTACCCAGACTATAAACCCTCAGGCCCTTTCTGTGATCCTCAGAAACATCTTGCCTTGCTAGGCCTTTGTGAAAGTAAGAGCCTGTATGAAAATGGGAGCTGATACTGTCTGGTAGTAATGAGACAAACTAACTTGGCAAGGCCTTTTTTTTTTTTTTTTTAACTGAAGTATATAGTAGGTTACAATGTTGTGTCAGTTTCTGGTGTACAGCATAATGCTTCAATCATACATATACATACTTATATTTGCTTTCATATTCTTTTTCATTGTAGGTTACTACAAGATATCAAATACAGTTCCCTGTGCTATACAGAAGAAACTTGTTTATCTATTTTATATATGGTAGTTAGTATCTGCAAATGTCGAACTCCCAATTTATCCTTTCTTACCCTCCTTTCCCCCCCCCGGCAGCTATAAATTTGTTTTCTATGTCTTGAGTCTGTTTCTGTTTTGTAAATAAGTTCATTTGTGGTATTTCTTTTTAGATTCCACATATGAGCGATCTCATATGGTATTTTTCTTTCTCTTTCTGGCTTACTTCACTTAGAATGATAACCTCCAGGTCCACCCATGTTGCTGCAAATGGTATTATTTTATTCTTTTTCATGGCTGAGTAGTATTCACACACACACACACACACACACACACACACACACACACACACACACACCCCTTCTTTATCCAGTCATCTGTTGATGGGCATTTAGTTTGTTTCCATGTCTTGGCTGTTGTAAACAGTGCTGCTGTGAACATTGGGGTGCATATATCTTTTCAAATTAGAGTTCCCTCCAGATACATGCCCAGGAGTGGGATTGCTGGAGGATTTGGTAAGTCTATTTTTAGTTTTTTATAATTTAGCAAGACTTCTTTTGCTGACGGTGCTGGCCACTTTCAACCATCCTGCTAGTTCCTCCTTCCTCTTCTGCTTTTCCACCCCTGTTCACCCGCTGTTTGTATTGCTCTGTTAGGTAGAATGACTCACCTTCAGGGCCCCTGTTCCCAAACATGGCTAGGCCTCAAGGCCCATCTTCTCCTCCACACAAAGAACTGCAGGGCCAGGGGTTTCCCTTCAAGACCCCATCCTTCTTGGAAGATACTTGTGGTTTAAAATGGTTTATCTCCCCCTCCCTTCCTGTCCAGAAGATTCTGTCGGGTGGGGAGGGCAGAGTCCATACTCCTTAAACCGTTGTCCCTAAAACAACTCTACCTTTTTTGTTTTTATTTTGGCTTCTTTTTTTTTTTTCCAGGTAAGATCCCTTTTGAAGAGAATGTGGCATGTTTAAAATGCTTTTTGAAATCCACATAATTTACCTTTCCAAAGACATCAATTAAGCTTACATTTATAGGAAAGGTGATGTTGTTCTTATGCTAAGTCTTCTGAAAATATAAAGTGCTGTATAAAATATTCATTTAGACCTGGGCCAGTGACATTTATAAGACATTTCTGGGGTTCACCAGAGCTTAATCTGAGTGAATTTTATGGTAAAGGTAAAGTTGAAAGAAATATTCGCAGTTGTTTTTATCACCTGTCCTCATTAGTTGCTTCTCCTCATTTTCTAATTAAACACAGTAATTATAGAGCGTTCACATTCATGCAATTATGTGAGGGAGAAATGGAGTTATGTCAGGTGTTGGAATTATGGCATATAATTACTGCCTGTATTAAGGGACATGTACAGCCCAGAGAAGAAAAGACCTGGAACCATGATGCAGTAGAACTTCCTCATTGCTCGGGGTGGGAGAGCGGGGTAGGAGGTGGGAATGGGGCAGTTAAATTGAGCCTCGACAAAACTAGACTCAACACTATCTCCTTTAGCACCACGAGGTTCCCCTTAGCATCCCTTTTGTCCAGCGGCTAAGCACTTCTTTCCCTGTCAACGATTGTTTCTCAGAAGATTGGGCCATTAATTCACACTAAAATGTGAATGGCTAGTGGATTGTTGACCATGTCTGCTTTTAGATTCAAAGTGTTTTATTATTGAAGATGTCCTGAGAGTCAGGCCATGTGTAAGACACAAGGAGCCAGAAGATGAAACAGACAGTGTACCCTCTCTCAGGCACATTATAGTCTCACAGGGAACCAGAGATTTAAATAAAACATTGCGAAATAAAATTAGAGGTGCCCTAGGAGAGGAAGAGAGTAGAGAGTGAGTGACTCACCTTTACTTATGGGTCTCCTTCTTTCAGCCATGAGCTCCTTTAAGGGCAAGAAGTGTGCCTCATCTATCACCATATCCCCAGCACCTCCTACAGCGCCGGCTGCATGGACGGTGTTCAGTCAATATTTGGTGATTTGGTGTTTGCAGAGACAGGACATTTGGTTGCACACACAGGGCCTTCAG